GAGGTTTTTTACTTCGTCAACATATCGTGTGTCCCTTGTGCAATTGTTTGCGTTTTTATTTGAATTTATTCTACTGCGTATTCTGGGATTTTTGCTTACAGGATTGTTACAGTATTTCAATCCTGTCGTGGTGTTTGAGAAACAGATCAGTTGGCCATTCTAGGGAATTTCAATTCTAATTACCTAACATGTTGATAATCGTTTTCCCATACCTCACCAATACTCTCTTCCGAGTTATATTAGTTGTATTCCTTACCACCAACCCACTCTATTCCTAGTTATGGATTTAGATAGCTAAGAACCCATTAAGATTTGTGGAAAACAATAAAGATTACACAAACCATAACCTAGTCTTCCGAGTCGGCTATGTAATTTATGGTACTTGTTACTAGAAGCTTTTTATTAGGAATCTCCTTCCGATCTCAACCTAATTCTTCCAATCATGCAATTAGTGGCCAATTAATTGAAAGCATTAAGAACGGTAACAAGTACTCAACATGTATAGATAAATAAAATTAACAATATCAAAGAATTTGAGTATTCATAGCTAGACTACATCATAGCCCTAGTAAAAGAAATTAGTTCATGAAGGACTTATTGAGAATCATGATGGTTGATGAAAACATGGAAGACACCGAATTCTCCAAGTAGAATGCTAAGGTTGCGCAAGCTTACTTCCTATTCTCCTTTGGATATTTCGGCTATGAGTATGAATATGTAGGATGATGGATAATGGAGGCCTTGAACAATGACCTAAACTCCTTATTTATAAGCCTTGAGCAATACTTCCAACAAACTAATAATAACCAATGAATGGCAATCACAATTCAAAACCTAAAGGTATGCCGTTACAAATAAAATGCACCATAGTGTAAAGTGTAAAGCCAATACTCCAAGCACTCGAATTCAAAGATAACCACACTCGGCGCATGAACAAATTCTCCTCGACTCTAGGCCTCACTGGATAATTCTCAATTTTCTCACAGAACCTAAGGTTGCACTCTTACCCAGCATATGTGAAATGGTTTTCAATTTTTAACGGTTCAGATTGAATCAGTTGGCCATTAATGTTGTGCGCCACTTTCTTCCATTTCTGCTAACCCATGTTCGCCATGTCTGTCTACCACGAACTACACTTCATGGGAAAATGGCCAGTTACTAGCTAGTTACTAGCTAGTCATTCACTTCAAAACCTAGTTTCCTCATACCTTAATTCGCTCAGTTTTCCTCAGAATTTTTACTCTTCTCTTCGACCAGACCCTGCCTTCCTTATTACTTCCTTTGTTCTAGCTCCAAAATTTCTAAAAATGTCTTCTCCAAAAACTCGTGCCCAAGGTTCCTCTTATTCAGTGCCTCCTGATTACATTACTGGGACTAGGGTTGACAACCACGCGATAGAGGTCATAAGCAAGCTCTACCCTTTTGCCAAGAAAACCTTGGACGAGAATATCCTTTATCTGTTCGAGAATACCCTGGTTTTGGGCCCTCACTAGTTCGGTTTTGTCCCTACTGAAATGGCAGAACTATTTAAGGAGGATGCAGAGGCTCCTCTAAGCTTCGAGAGCTCTTCTGCCCTAGCATCCCATACTTGGGTTAGCGTGAACCTAAGGCGCTCGTTCCCTTTGAGCGAAGTGAGGAACAGTCCAGTGAAGTGGATAGACTGGGTTGACAGGCTCCTCCCATGGTATGGAGCTCACTGGAAGAGGGCTGAAATCTATGACGCCATTCTTCTGTCCAAACAGTCTATTAACAGAGATGAAAATCTCCTGGCTGCTGCCCTTTGCTTCTGGAATCTGCCAGCAACACGTTCAACCTTGTTGGATATGGCTCAGATTTTTGGGTTCAGATCCCATGGACGTCTTGTGGATGCAGTGGGTGACTATCACAGGAAAAAGAATCAAGAGAAGCTGTCTAGGCCATTCGCTATCTCTCCTGCCATAATCAACCAGAACTGCTCCTTCTTGAATTACTTGAAGAAGTTTAGCGCTTAGAAGGACAAGGATCAGCAGCACATGCTATTCCTCCTGTACTAGCTGAACGGATTTGTGTTTCTAAATCATTCCTCAGTAGTTCTGCTCGAATACAGGCATTTGGCAGAAGCACTACACAACCACACTGACGTAGGGCTTGGGCCTACTGTTTTGGCTCATCTGTTCAAGAATCTGCATGCTACCACCCTAGAGAATCCCCTGAGCCTGTCCGCTCCAGGTGCATTCTAGATGGTCTAGATCTGGCTGCAGGTCTATTTCCCAGAACTGAGGTTTCCAGACATAGTTCTGCCTGAAGATCAGGTTCTGGCTCTTCCTTTGATGTCAGCAGAGGTGCCCAAGCATTCAATTGAGGAGTATCTGATGTTCTTCAGGCACTACACCAAGAGGTCTGCTGCTCAATGGCAGGTGGTGCTCAGAAGGGTTTATCCTTGGTTTCAGCTTGGACACCGGCTATTTGAGAAGGAGCCAGAAGAAGAATCTGCCAGAACAGATTTCAGGAAGAAATTCCTGAGCGTTAACTTATCGAGAGATTTGTCCCATGGAGGTGGAAAGCCTCCAAATTATCATTTGGGGGCAGAAGTCTACCATCCAAATTTCTGCGCAAGACAGCTTGGCTGCCTCAGCTCATTCCACTCAAATCCTACAGAAGCTACAATCAAGCCACTTCCTGGAGGGATCTGGATGACTTGGAAGTGCATAAGGATGCTAGGTGTGCGGTAAACAAGATTAATAACGGTGTAGACGCTCTCTATCCATCATGGGAGCCGAATTCCTGTAGTTCTATCGAGTTTGATGCTTGGTGGAAGGCCAAATTCCATGGTTTGCCTACCTCAAGCACAGCCCTTAAAGTGTTGTTTGATGGCTAGGACTCTTAGACTATTCACGCAAGGGAGGAAACCCACAGATTCATGGAACAAACCATTAAAGATATCAATGCTCAAATCATAGAAGGTAGCCTTATGACTTTGTCTGTGCTTAGCTTATTCTGTCCCTACGATGATTTCTAACATTTTGTTCTACCTGCTACAGATCCTTCTTTGACAGAAAACATAGGTGGGCAGTCTATCCAGGCCAGAGAAGTGATTGGTAAGCTTTCCATCATTCTGTTTCTTCTGTTATTTTTTTGCTGGATTTGACTTCTGACTTGTTTGTTTCCTGTGCAGTTACTTCTGTCATTGTTGCCGGAGACTTGGAGCTTCTCTCTGGAGATGATGAGGATGAAAGTTTGGCAGAACAACTAGTTGTTGAGGCCACTCCTTCTGCCAAAAGGAAAAAGAGGAAAGAGACTGCTCCAGTCCATGAGAGTGCTGCTCAGCCAGAAGCTTCAGGTAAGTATCGAGAATTTGAGCTTTCTTAGTTCCTATTCTGCCCTGCCTTTGTTTGATTAACATGTTCTAATCATTTTATTGCCTGTTTCTTTGCAGCTGAAAGTCCTCCTCCCCCTCCTACTAAGTCAAAAACACTTAGAAAGAGAACTGTGGTGGAGTACGTGGCATAGAAGAAACTACAACAGCCCCCACCACTACTTCTGGCACGTGTGAAGAGCTAAGGGAGGCTTTCGAGGCAGTGGAGCAGGAAAAAGATTTAGAAAAAGAAGGACCCCAAGAAAAGATAAAAGAAATGGAAGATGAGGTGAGTCTTGTTTTCTGATTGTATCGGCAATTCTGTCTTTTTATCTTTTCTGTTCTAACTTCTGTCTATCTGTAGGAGGACATCCCTGCTGAAGTGATTGCAGAAAGCATCCCTCTGGCGCAGAAACAGCAGGTGACCTAAAGGGCAGAACTGACCAGCTCGGAGTTGGCCCTTTTCAAAGATACAGAGGCGGCACACTCCACTGCAATTCCAGTATCTGGGGAACAAGCGGAGCAATCTATATCAGAGCTTGTGGAACAGGCAGAACTTCCTGTTGCAATCCCAGAATCTGAAGTGAAGGTAGCTACTGCTGTTCCTGGACTTATGGTAATTTTTATTTTACCTCTATCTATCTTTCCAGGTAGAAGTGCCCAGAATTGCTGGGATATTGGCAGTGATGACCAGTCCTTTGAAGCCTCCTATTGTTGTTGTATGTGTTACTGCATTTTGCCCCCATTGCTTTTCTAATTCTTCTTGTTCTATTTATGATCTCTTTTTGCAGATGCCCATCCATTCTCTTCCAAGTTCATCTACCATGGCCTCCTTTGCTGATCCTGAATTGGTAGAGTTTGAAGCTATGGACCTAGATGCCGTGTTGGAAAAACTATAGAAGCTCAGTTCCACTCCTGGCAAGGCCAAGTCGAAGGTGGTGGATGAGGCAATGGAGAGGGTGAAGATCTGGCAATCCACTAGGCTGGAACTGGATGAGAATATGGAAGTTGTTGATCAGTTGATGAAGGATCTGGACCTAATACACAGATAGAACATGGCTTCCAAGCCTATACTTGAGATGAGCCTCGATTTGGCCAGAGATGTGCTCAACCTTCATGACCGTTATGAGGATCTCAAGCCCACCTTCCTCTGAGTTCTACAGGGCTACTCATGAAGCCAACTTGGCTTATTACGCAAAACAAAAGGCAAAACTAGACCAGATGGTTGCAGGATACAAGGAAGCCAAGGCCACTGCAGATAAGCTGGAGAAGCAGATTGAAGAGCTTCAAAAGTAGTTGGCAGAATGCAGGGAGGTGCAGAGTATGGTTTGAGTTCCAAAACCAAGGCCACCTTTCTTGTGCAGAGTATGGTTTTAGCTTCCTGGCCAGCATTGGAGATTGCAGAGGCTTCAATCCACCAAGGGGTGCTGCTTCAAAAGGAACTTTCGATCAAGAAGACCAGTTTGTAAGAAACCCTTAGGAAATTAGGGTTTTAATTTTAAAATTTTGAATGTAATAAAACAATTAGTCATGAGAGTGACTATATTTAATAAAAAGTTATTTATTTTTGTTGAATTTTTTATTTCTCTTGACAAAATAATAGAAAGTAGAAAAAATAAAAGATGTGCTTAACATACTACATCAAAAACAAATTCTGAACAGAATTTTAAACAACAGCTTCATTTTGCTGCCTCTTTATTCCAGGGTTTGTTTGCATAGCTTGTGAATCCCACATAGTTGAATAGAATTTCTTCAACCATTTGCCATTGATTGGTGCAGCATGAACATCTCCATCTCGATCCTGTAATCTGTATGCCCCTAGTCTAAGGATTTGCTTAATTATGAAAGGTCCTTCCCATGTAGGTGACCACTTTCCATAACCAGCTATATGTGTTCTAAGGGGCAGAACTACTTTCCAGACTATCTCCCCTTCTTCAAAACTCTCGTTTTTAACTCTCTTATTGTAGGCCCTTGATACAGCCTGTTTTCCTGCAAAGAGTTTGTTGAGGGTATATAGTCTACTTCCATCCAATCCTTCTAGTTCGAGCAGCATGGCTTGAGAGTAATCTTCTCCAATCAACTGTGTTGATGAGCAATTCTGAGAGTTGGACTGCTATCTCCATAGGCAAGATTGCATCATGAACATAAGTTAGAGCATATAGGATCATGCCAGTTGCCTCTCTCTTTGAAGTCCTATATGCCTACAGAGTTTCTGATAACTTCTCATGCCATTGCTTTGGATTTTTCGCAAGCATTTTCCTGATAATGTTGATGATCACCTTGTTACTTGATTCTGCCTGTCTATTAGCTTTAGCATAGTACGAAGTGTGGATTGGAGTAGCTTAAATTTGAATGCTTCTGCCATATTTAGCATTTCTCCAGATATGAAAGAAGATCCCCTATCAGTTGTGATTGATTCTGGAATGCCAAACCATTGTATAATCTGTTCATCTATGAAGGTGATGATTTCTTGAGATGTAGTAGATTTAACAGGTTTGGCCTCCACCCATTTGGTGAAATAGTCCGTAGCTACAATGGTGAAACAGTGTTGTTTGCTACTGGTTGGATAAATCTTGCCAATGAGATCCATTGCCCATCCTCTGAATGGCCATGGCTTGACTACTGGATTCATGGGGACTGAAGGAACCTACTGGATTAGGTCATGCCTTTGACAAGCCTCACATCCCTTGGAATAGTCAATGCAATCCTTCATCATGGGGACTGAAGGAGCCTGCTGGATTGGGCCATGCCTTTGACAAGCCTCACATCCCTTGGAATAGTCAATGCAATCCTTCATCATAGTTGGCCAGAAGTAGCCACCTTCTAATTAACCAGCAAGGTTGGATACCTTTAAGTAATTTATGATGGGAATTCTCCAGTCATCTTTAGTGTGATTATAGCAAGATTGACATCTATCTCCATCCCTTTGGCTAGAAAAAATGGTAGACTTTTCTTTCCTACCTTGATAATCCTTTACACACAGTGTTCAGGCATTTGTATCCCTGTTGCTATCTGAGCCAATTCATTAGCTGCGAAGTTCTCCTCTCTCAGGATATGTTCCCAAGTAGCTTCCCTGAATTTTGTCAGAAGATTCATGGCTGCCACTAGATAGACAACTAGAGAAGGATTTAGACATTTGTATTCTCCAGCAATCTTTTTCAACACAAGCATAGAATCTCCCAAAATTTCCACAAACTGGATTCCTAATTCTACCAGCATTTCGAGGCCAATGATTAACAGTGTTGGTGCATTGGAAATCTAATTGGAAAGAATAACAGTGTCTGATCCCCAGCAGCTCCTCCAAAACAATCCCTGCCCCAAAGGCTATATCGGTCTTTGATCCATCAAAGTACAGTTTCCAAGGTGTGAGGCGAACTGAGTAGATGGAATTGTTGAGACAAGTATGAACTCTAGTCAATAGATCTGCATTTGCTATATCCAAAGAGTCCATATTTTTAATCTCTTCCCTTGGATGATCTGCTAGGAAATCTGCTACAGCTTGTCCTTTGACAGCTTTCTGAGGAACATATCTGAAAGCAAATTATGTCAAAGTCAGAGTCCATTTGCCAATTCTGCCTCTCACAATTGGCCTTGTTAGCATGTATTTGATTAGGTCTGTCTCGGCAATGATATAGATGGTGAATGGCAGCATATAGTGTCTGAGTTTCACAGCAGTGAAGTATAAGGCTAGACGAAGCCTTTCAATTACAGAATATTTTCATTTCTACTTCTGTCAAAGTTCTGCTCAGATAGTAGACTGCCTATTCCTTCCCTTCCTTGTTATCTTGAACCAGCATACTCCCAAGGACACTTCCGATGCAGAAACATAGAGTTTGAGCAGTTTGCCTTTCTTTGGTGGGGACAGAACTGGCGAATTTAAGAGGTAGTGCTTGATTTCCTCAAAAGCCTGCTGGTGCTGTTCTTCCCATTTGAAGGTCTGTTCCTGTTTCAACCTCAGCAAGGAGGAGAAAGGCTTGATTTTTCCTGCAGAATTGGATATGAAACTCATTAGAAAGTTAATTTTTCCTAGGAGACTCTGCAGCTCCTTGTTCTGGGGTGGTAGAGCTTCTATGATGGATTTTGCTTTATTTTTATCGATCTCTATGCCCCTTTGGTGGACCAAGAAACCTAAGAAATTTCCTGCCTGAACTCCAGAAACACATTTCTTGGGATTCATTTTCAATTTATGTTGTCTCATTCTTAGGAATACCTTTCTCATATTTGATACATGATCTCCCTCTTCTGGGGATTTAATTACCACATCATCTATATATACCTCTAGAGAATGCCCTATCATATCATGGAAAACAGAATTCATTGCTCTTTGATAGGTGGCTCCTACATTTCTTAAGCCAAAAGGTCTATTCCAGTCCGCTGGAGAACTGGTCTATTCTAGTCCTGTAGAGAACTGGCTAGACCATCTTTAATGAGTCTCTGGGCCGTGACACCATGGGGCGGCTGTTCTGGTTAACTCCAAGGAATGTGAAAGGACCAAGGTCATCATGATAATACCTTGCTTAAAACACATGGCAGAGGGCAAAAATGGTTGTGGATCGGCCTCTATTATCTCCATGAAACCTTCTTCATTCCAAAGGGCTACTTGCTGATGCAGAGTGGAAGGGACACATAAGCTTTGGTGGATCCAGTCCCTGCCAAGCAATGCATTGTAAGTGGCAAAGGTGGTGTCTACCACAAAAAATGCAATCTTCAGCTCTTTGGTTCCAACTATGACGTCCACATCAAGGATTCCATGAGTCAGAGTGATGCCCCCAGCAAAGTTGGTGACGGTCAAGCGTGTTCGGATTAGATCATTCTCTGTTCTGCCCATCTTGCTTAGCAATCTGTGAGGTAGAAGATTAATAGATGCACCTCCATCCACCATCACTTTGGGAACAGGAATACCCTCGAAGTTTGCTATTATGAATAGAGGTCTGAGGTGATTGGTCATCTCTTTGGTTGGTTTGGAAAACACAGCTGTTCTGCAACCAATTTCATGGCAGTTCCGCCTGTTTTGGTAGTAGGTGGTTGCTGTTCTGGCGCCTCCTCCACTTCTACCAATCTGCACTCAAAACTTTCCTGGGAGAATACGTCTCCCTCCAGAGTGTTTTCTTGTCCTTCTGCTGCCCTAAATTTTTCTGGCAAGATGAACACCATGTTAATGCCTAGATCACCCTGCAACAGGCTCTCCAATTCTGCACCAAAGGCCTCAATTTCTTCATCTAGTTCTCCATCATACTCCATCTGCTCTTCCTCATATTCCTCTATCCAGTCTTCCTGTTCTCCTGTTTCGAGGAGTCCCATCTGGTCATCTGCAGATGGTTCATAGTCCAACTACTTGTCTTCATACTCTTCAGTCCAGTCTTCTTGTCTTTTTACTGGAATAGGTTCGAATTCACCTTGTATTTGTGAAGGTTCAAATTGAATTAACTGAGGATGAGGCAGGATGGATGGAAGGTCTGCCTGGAGATTCTATTTTCATCAGCTCTTGTGGCCGACATGTTGTTTATTCTGCCTGAGGAGCTACTTCTAGATTCTTCCCTCTTCGGGCAGAACTGGTCTCTGGACGTACCTGTGTGTCATCCTTATTCTTAAGGAAGGTGCAGTATTGCCTTTGAACTCTCCTATTTTGAGTTTTGGTTAACTTCAAAGTTGGCCTACCCTTTTTTCCAACATAATACCATCCGCCTTCTATGATAGTTGCCAAGGGCTTGTTATTTCTGGGCATCTTAATTTGTATTTCCTTCTTCGGCTGCTCTGTCATTCTTCTACTACGTTGAGCAGTTCTTAAATAGTCCTTCTGTCTGGCTCTGTCTTTAGATGGAGCCGAAACTGTGCCATGCTGATATGATGTTCCAATCCTGCCAAAAATGCTAGGTGTAGGCTGACTCTGCCTATCCAGAGTCACTTCTAACTCAGTTTCACATCTGCATTTGCTGCACAGCACTACCCCAGCCGAGATGGTTGTCTTTGGCCTTTGGCTAGTCTCCCTTGTGACTCGTCTGCCTCTACTAGAGCTAACTTCTGTTGCTGGTTTGTCTCTCCTCTGTTCTGGCTAATTTAAGTTGACCCTGTTGACTTGAGGTTGGGGAAAAGGATCTGTTGTAACTGAGGGAGGTTTCTCCGCCAGTTTTAACCTTCCTACTGTTTTAACCTTCCTACTGTTATTCCTTCTTGCATGACATCTTTGAAAACAACGCAGCTGTTGGTGGAGTGGTTCCAAAAGTTGTGCCATCTGCAATACTGTCTACCCTTGAATTCTTTTGGCTTGGGCAACTTGTGGGGTGTCTCTATTGCCTTCTGTAGCAGCATCTCATCAAACAAAGCATCAACCTTGGTTAGATCGAAGGAATATATCTTAATCTGTGTTGGTTTGTTTGGAACAAACCCTCATGTGAATGGTGGCGGCTTCTGGTCCTTTGATGGCTTTGTAAGAGCCTTGCAGTTGATAGGATGTTTTAATTTTGCCATTTCTGCCACTACAATTTCTCTTTCCTCTGAGCCTTCTGTGTCTTCTTCTGATTCTACCTTAACCAGATGGATTGAAGAAGAAGGGGTTTTGTAGTATGTGCCTTTGGAAGAGTTCCTCTTCTATTGTTCTTCCCTGAGCAGCTTCTCATACTTAGATGCTTTGTCTACCAGTTCTGCTAGATCTCCAAATAGCATCCCATCAAATCTCTTTCTTAGAGAGATTTTAAGGGCGGTTTGAGCCATCTGAATGAAGTGCCTTTCTTCCACAAGGATCTGGCATTTCATCTTGATCTTTCTGAACTTGGTTATGAAGTCCTGAGCAGGCTTATCTTTACTCTGTTTGAGGGCAGCAAGATCACTGATGGTGACTTTTGGCTTGGATCCTGATATAGTAGTCATGAAAAACATTTTCCATCTGCTCCCAGGTTTGAACAGATTTGGCTAGTAGGATGGTATACCAGGTGAAGGCTTGTTCAGAGAGAGAATTCCCAAAAAGCCTTAGTTTTAACAGAGGGTTATTTTCTATGGCAATGGACTGGACAGAGAATCTGCCTATATGCTCAACTGATGAAGCATGGGGGTCTTCTCCGTTGAACAAAGTGAAGTTTGGTACCTTGAAACCCAGGGATAGAGGTATCTAATCAATGTAAGCCGAATACGACTTTCTGTAGGTGGGCCTTTCTCCTCTTCTAGCTATCATCTCCCTAATCATTCTCCGTAGTGCCCCCATGTCATTTAAAGCATTGACAGGGTGCAGATTTCACCCCTATTTTGGCTGCACGTGGTCAATCCTGTGCTCCATTCTGTATGGTCTGGGTAGAGCTTCCTCCCTGTGTTATTCCTCCTCTTCAAAATTTGGATGATTCCTCCAATTTGCCCATGGTTTGTTTCTGTCATTGTTGGCAAAGGGGTTGATTCCCTCTCTACCTCTTCTGCCTCTTGCTAGTGGAGGGAATGGATTGGGGTCCATCCTTTTGGGTCTGTAAGGCAACACACTAGGTGCCTCAGGCAGAAGTGGCAGGGGCTGATCACGTGGGGCCACAAGTTGTGGAATAGGTGGAGGTTTTGGCTGATTCTGGGGTATCTGAATTGGTGCAGGGCCTTCTAGCCGAACTAGAACCT